TATTTTGAAAAATTATTATAAAATTAATAACCCATATGGAATGGTAGAGTCCATGGTTAATCAACGACGCAACAAAACATGTGCTTCGCTGTTTGAAAAGGGGGTGAAAGCAATACATTGAACAGCAATCTAGAGAAAACACAGAGAAAACAATATTTTACAGTATACAATACAATACCTTTAAAGAGCCTGATAATCATATATAATAAATATATTCTTTTACACTAAACTTCGAGATTAATCAACACTGAAATAGAATAGAGTCTATGAGCCCAATCACTTATTAGGCCGGCCTAGGGTCGGCCCAGGGTCGCCTTAAATTACGGCCGACTCAGGGCCGACTCAACTACATTTCCGTTCACAGTTATTGTTTTAAGTCGGCCCAGCGCTGCCTTACGGATGTTCACACTTCTTTTGGGCCGGGTCGATGAATTTCAGGACAGGTTGAGGCGATCGCATTTTGATGGCGGAACGGTAAATCACAACCTAGCATAAACACATGGAATTCGCGCGAAATATGAACCTAATTTCAAAAATTGTCCTTATACTTTTTCGATTTTTTAAGCGGATAGCATTCTGCTTCATGATTATGGCGACGATAATTCTTATAATAACCAAGGCCTATAATTAACGCAGCTCGACTTTACTCTGTGCAAAGCCAGACTCGCGATTTCGAAAGTCACATACCTGTATATTGTAAACTGTCTATATAGGCCTATATTGCTGTCAATGTTTGGCCACAGACCGGAGACACTGATTGTGAATAAGCAGCATATCTATCTATTTGGCAATAATAATTATTTTCATATTAGGTTCATTCACAAACAATTTTTTACACTTTTTAGAACCAGCTCCGCTCATAACAAAAACAAACGATTGTGCGTCTTTAACTGTAGAAAATAAAGTCGTCATCTGTCAAACTGCCCATGCGTAAGCTTCGTATCACGTGGTATTCCCAATGCCTACAACTTGGTTTGTGATGATGCTTATGCTTCGAACGGAGGCTGTGAGTAATAATTAGTTAGGCATGGAGACCTTATATAAAAACTTTTATTCAAAAACAATAGTTCAACTAAATACAAATTACTTTACAGTTTCCTTAACAATTTTATTTCTCAATGGTGTTTTTTCGCGCAAGTCAGTTCGAATGAATGTTGTGGTTAGATAAGATGTCAAAATCGAGCAATCAGAGCGAACTTGGGCCGGCCGAGGTTCGGCTTACGTTCAGATATAAAGTTGGGTCGGCCCAGGGCCCGCATTGTGGGACCTGAGCCGACTCAAAAGTCTTAACATTAAATGATTGTTTACACTTAAAAATTGCCGACCCTGGGCTGGCCCTGAGGTGGCCCTGGGCCGACGAAAC